AGAACCAGCAGGGAGTAGGCGAAAGGGGAATCCAGGTAACAGAGCAGAGGTCAGGAGCCAGGTGATCAGTCCACAGCAAACAATGTCCGACAGGGAGTAGGCGAGAGAAGGGTCCAGAGAACAGGCGGGTAGGTAACACGGAGGTCAGGCAGGYGATAGGTAGGGAAGATAACGCTGGAAGGTAAGGCATGAAAACACTAACGATCTGGCAGAGGACAAAGGAAACTGGCAGGCAGATATACTGGAGGTGACTGATGAGAGGATTGGAGACAGGTGCGTATGTGGGTGGAGCCGGTGTGGACGTGCAGAGCAGGAGGGGAGTGGCTGAACTCTGAAACGACACAGGGATTAGTATATGGAAAACTGATATTGAAAACATTAATAGGAAGGAGAATTCGTGACAGAATCAGGTATTTGGCATGTTGGTCCAGAGTCAGGGCCTAGTCCATAGTAACACCTAGAGATGCACCAGTAACTTACTGAAAACCATTTTTTTGCACTCACAGTACCAGTTTGGAAACATTGTTTTGGTTGTTGTTGTTGCCTTTATTCTTTTATTGTATTTGCCTAGTTGTTATAAAAAACATTTCAATTATATAACAACTATTTTTTAGAATACAGATATTCATATATATTAGCAGTGTTCTAAGAATTTTTACGGGACAAGGCATTTTTTGTTCACTGTAAAGACGATCATTGTTTAATGTATTGTTCCATATTATGTCATGACCATAACTAGCTTTGTGTACTGGGTATATGGAAACAGTCACCGTATTCTGATGAAAAGTAGTTTATTTGGAAGCATCATTAGATCATTTTTGTTTTAACATGCAGCTGTGATGACGTGGTTCACAGGTTCTGATGAACATGGTTGTGGTAGTGGGGGGGTGGTCAGTGTCGGTTGCAAGAGGGAGAGAGTGGGCAGGTGGCTCAGGGATTGGTGCCAGGGAGAGAGTCTGATTGTGTACAGGTGTTCTGCGTTTGCCAATGACTCTCTCCCCCCCTCTTATCAGCAGTAGCGTGCTGGGACAAAGGAGGCCACAAGAAGAGAGGCGCTGGAGGACACACGGAAAAACGGACTAATATATGCTTATGTACGTGTGTGTGTGGAAAAATAAAAGAACTTAACTGAACCCTGTCCTACATCATCTTTGACGAGGAACCTGCGGTGGCATGAGCGTGCTACAATGGTGCATGTCAAACTACCTTGTTTATCTTAGTTGTGAGTTAAGTAAATGAAATTGCTTTTGTGAAAATAAATTTGAATGCACGAATCTTCCAAATAACAGAAACTGAACAGAAACTGACATTTAGCTTATCACATGGCCATTGACCATTAATATTTGGCAGAAACTTAAACTGACTTCAGATCATATTGCAGATATTTGTCAAGTTTATTCTCCCTGGTTTAATACACTGATGTACTTAAGATTTTTTGTCTAAAAGGGCAACTTTAGGGTTTACGATGATGGCTTAAGAGACTTTCATTTTTTGGCCTCAAAAAAACACGACTTTATGGCATGTCTATGGCAAGTCTATGGCAAATACTATGGCAAATCTATAGCAAATACTATGGCAAATCTATGGCAAACTGGAAAAGGTACCCATCCTGTGGAAAACTTCATGTGTGGTCCCGGTCCCACAGATTGCTCATCCAAGAGAGCATAACCACTACAGACCATCGCCTTGACCTCTCACATGATGAAAACCATGGAGAGGATTGTGCTGAACCACCTAAGGACCCTTACGAGCTCCGAACTGGATCCCCTTCAGTTCATGTATTGTCAGGGCATCGGGGTAGACGATGCAGTCCTGTACCTGCTGCACAGATCCCTCTCTCACCTGGACAACCTGGGGAGCACTGTGAGAGTCATGTTCTTCAACTTCTCCAGTGCTTTCAACACCATCCAACCTGCACTGCTAAGGGGGAAACTGGGAAGAGCGGGAGTGTAATTATATTATAATATTATATTATGAATAGTATTGTAATTAATAATAGTAATGTGTACTGTGAGTCCATCTGCAGATGCTGAATTAAACTTTCAGAAAGAAGTGTTTGACTTTGAGCTTGTTTCACAGAAATTGCCACCACAAGGGCATAGCAGCAAAGTATATCAGCTTACAGCTGTATGCAATTCACAAACCAACCCTCAGTATTAACTACTGAAGGGAGTTGTAAGACTAAAATAAATTCATTCACTTTGAAAGCAATGTAAAAAGTATACATCATATTTTATTTTTATTCCGAATATTTGTTGTTGTTACAGCAGAAATGAACAAAAACATAAAATGGAATTCAAAAAGTGTTAAGAGCCTCAATACAAAATATGTGGTTGGCATATATGACATATATTATACCTGTACCTGACAGTTGTTATAGCATCTGTGAACCATACCAATTTTTTTTTTCATTCTGATTGTAATATTTAGGCAATGTGGCTGTAGTTTGACAGCAAGTTTGTGCAAGATAAAGTGGAGTGAGAAAGAATGGTCGATCAACTGAAGTCTCGGTTTGTGACGATCATGGGGGCTACCAGGGTCCAGATGTACAGGACCAAACATACCCAGCTGGAGCTGATCTTAACCCACACTGCTGGCCACTTGCTAGTTATGGTGTAGTCTGCATCAGGGCTATCAGAAAAAACACAGCAAAGGCCTTTCGTTAGTCATAATTTTTCAACTTGTCATGAATCAAGCTGGAAAAAATATATTTTACATACAACAAAAGAGAATGACATTTACCATAAATTTTTCATGACTTTTCAAGCTGGGACATGCAGATGCGACTTAAGGAGTAATTACCATTACTTATAGTTCAGAATGTCATCTTCAGAACTAAATATAAATGTCATTCCAATTCCCTGATGCAAAATGCAGAATCTTCACTTAACAAATGCATCAAAAATAGGACAGGCATGAAGCCAACTCTTTTCTGATGTCTGAATACTCCTTCTGGTTGGTCTGAAATCAGCAATAGTATACTTATACAGGTACATTTCCAGCAGCTGTTACCAATACAAATGACATTATTATTTGTTAATGATCAGTTTTCAGTTGCAAAACAGTAAGGTAGTTGGGAACTCTTTAGAAATATGGCAGTGGTTGAATTAAACTTTTTCACCAGACCATATTCATCATTAGTTTAAACAGGCAAATATATATCACTTTAATGTGAAGTCTGAATTGGACTCCTGTATTATAGACCCAGAGTAACACGATCTAGGTGGTTTGTTGAGAGGGGGTGTACTGACCTATACCAGTTGGTGAGGGTCATCATGATGTACAGTGAGGCCAGGAAGAACATGAAGTGGAAGAAGGAGTAGCTGTACTGAACAATGTCCCGCTCATTGTCCTCCACCCGCCTGGGTCCTGTCGACTCCTCTGATAGGTCAGGGCTGCTGCCACCCTCGTCTTTGGAGGCCATGGTCAGCTTGTTCACCTGACTAGTGCTGGATGAACGAATGCTAAACAGAGTTAAATGAATAGTTTGTACAGTTATTTTTATTATTAATTACTGTGTTTTTACAAAGACCCAAAAGCATGAACCACAACAGCATATGACAAAACAAGATGAAACATATTTTTCATGCTGATGAACCCCGTAAATGATATGAAGTTTGTGAAGGCTACAACAAAGAGACTGTCCAAGACATTGTTCATGTTTGGCTATAGGGTTTAAACTAGTTTCTTCCTCTAAACTAACAACTTGTCTATTAAACTCAACCTCAACTAGGCTTTTTATTGACATTTTTCCTCTGATTGACAGTTCCATTTTGAATCAGGTTATTATGTCTCTGTTAACGGCATACATACCACATGCTTTTGAAAAAGCTGTTGCTAACCAGCTTTGTGATTACTTAGACAGTGATAGTTTGTTGGAAGACTTTCAGTCAGGATTTAGAATCCATCACAGCACAGAAACACCACTGTTAAAGGGCCCATAATGTACATATATTGGGATTTGATTTGAGGTATTGGTGCCCTCAAGATGATATTTCAGTGGTTTAAGTCGAAAGATCTGCTGGATATGTATTTACATGTCCTCTCTTTTTCCTCTCTCTGGCGCTGCAGACAGAACAGGCTGGTTTTGCCTGCCTCGTTATTTATTTATGAGCCCCTCCTCTGATTGGACATGCGACCACGCCTATCACCGGTCTCATTCTGAAGCATTGACAAACTCTCCGGTAAACAAGAATGGCCATTACCACAGCTGAGAGTCGCGTTATTAGGTTTGGATACAGCTGTAGAAGACCAGCAACACATACACAATCGGTTACAACAGGATGTTTCTGAACGGTAAGTTACACCGTCTCATGTTTGTTCAAGTTTTAGAAGGCAGTCAGCCAATTTAGGAGTAAGTCTCGAGTTTCAGTACGGAGTTTCAGATAGAGAACATAGTAAAGTGGGACATAAGAGTAACGTTTCAGCACTGAAGGTAGAAATAGTTTACTCAGTTCCTAATAATTTTTGGTTTGAAAACTCAGTGCATGTAACAAAATGCTTATTTAGAAAACATTGTATTTGATATGATGCCAGTTGCTTAATAAGGTTGAAAACATAAAGCACATGTCATTGTGTATAATTTTGTGGTTATGTAATTAGCGTTTTCCTATTTTTTTCATCACGTACACATGACATTAAGTTTTCATGCAGTTATTTCACTCGTAATGTCGCTTTTTCCTCTGCAGGTGCAGCTGTGGTAATGGTGCCATGATGACAACAGTGAATGTTCTACAGGGAGATAGACAAGGTAGATTATCAAATAATCTTCACTGTAGCCACAGTCTTTACGTTGTGGAGTGTCTTATTTTTTTCTGCTCATCAGGTTCTTAGGAAAATAAAGCAGCTTCAGTCCCCCACAAACTGCATAACACAGCTTCCTCAGAACCTTTCAAGCTCAGTATCCCAATGCTTTTAACCATAACCATCACTGGTGACTTCAATCATGTCACACTGAACAAAACTTTACCTTCATTCCGCCAGTATGTTAACCTCCCCACAAGAGACAGTAAAACACTGGACCTTCTGCAAATGCTCTGGATGCATACAGTGCCACTGCCCTCCCCACACTTGGCAGATCAGACCACAACCTGATATTGCTGATGTAACCTGGACATGTGTCCCTCTCTCTTATAGAAGAGATCTATGCTGCTGACCTAAGTATAATATCTACAATATCTAAATCTCAGGTCTGTATCAAAAATCTTAGGCCTAGGACCAAACAGCTCAGAATTATCACAGGTTTACTCAGATTCTCACTGATCTTCTAGGTTTGGGAAAGGAGATTGGCAGTAGCAGGCCCTGTAAGGCAGCAAATAAGACCTCCAACCCACACAGCACACAGGACCACAGTTTTATGAAACAGAAAATTATCTTAATATTAATACCCTGTTCAGTTTCATTTAACTTCTGTTAAAGAAGAACATCATGAAAAAAATAATTAACTCAAATATACCACAAAGAAACAATTTAAACAACCAAAATGAATGTAAAACAAAAATAAAGTATTTCAATACCTCAAAAAAATGAGGAAATAAATAAATAGAAAACAATAATAAATAAATGTGGTACCACTTCACTGTCTCTCAGTTATACTCTAAATTTACATAAAGTTGTTTGTCTAATCAGTTTGAACCATTTTACTTGAATGTTCTTCGGTTGTCAACCTTCAGTCTCCTTATGATGTCAGTCTTAAGTCAGTTATCAGTTTATCTCTGTTGTCAACTGTCACTTATTGGTAAGTCTTGGGCCCATGAACAAAAAACAACTGAGTTTCAGGCAGAATAAAGTAGYAAAAAAATAGATAAAGAGCCTCTCAGGTGGGTTTCTTTTAGTTTTGGTTCCTACCGCCCTCCTAGTATGGCAAGCATCCTCGTCTCGACGTCCTGGCATGCAGAAGGCATCCACAAATAGCAGTTCTGGACCACGATGAAGCAGTTTCTCATATGATGCAGATAGAATTGTCCCTCAAAAAAACTGTCAGAAAAGTTCAAAACTTGAGGAAAACACTCTGACGGAGCCTCTCCTACGACCCACTTCGGGGTAGGTACTTGCTAATGGTTCACTGCTAAAAACTCTTACAGAAGATTCTAATTTGAGAACAGCGTGCGCCGTGGCAGCACAGAGTTTTTCTGCCTTCTCTGGTGCTTTTTTCCGTGTCACGTCCTCACACACCGAGAGCTGTAGGCGATGTGTTCAGGGCGCGCTCCGGCAATCTCAATACCGGCCAAAAAACTACTGTATGGAAAAACTACAATGCATTTAGGGAACCCGGTATTTCCTAGTGCCCTAAATCTAATCAGGGTTACACTGACACCGAAATATGTCCCTCTTGTCCAGTGACAGCCTGCATCTGCAAGGAATGTGAGGAGGTGGACTCAGGAGGCAACTGAGGCAATGCAGGACTGCTTTGAGTCCACTGACTGGGATGTGCTTTGTGAGCCACATGGGGAGGACATCAACAGCATGTCAGACTGCAAAACAGAATACATTAAATTCTGTGAACAAACCACCAGTTGCCCTCACATCTCATGTGATGAAAGTGCTGGAGAGGCTGGTCCTGGCCCACCTCAGACCACAGGTGAAATCATCACTGGACCCTCTTCAGTCCACCTCAGCTCAGAGAAAAATAATTGCTATCTTGACTATTCCTTTGTCCTTCTTGAATTCTATGAATCGTCTCATGGGTCATGTTTGGCCCAGAAGCCAGAGCTTACCCACATCTGGAATATATGCAAGTCTGTGCGAATGTGTGCATGTGCATTGTGGCATCACAAGGGGTCATGTAGTAGAAGGGTGCTACATTCTCATACAGTATTGGCTACCACGTCACAAAATTGCCACCAATGCACATCTCCCAGAATGCCTCACCTCTCACCCAGGTGTAGGTGCTTAAGCCACCTAATTCAAGCAGGACTGACGAGCTGCACAGAGGAGGGAGAGGGGCAGAGGGACAGATACTGTAGCACATGGCTAGAAGGAGCTCAGCAAACAAACTTTGACTGGACAACTACATGCAGGAAAGTACAATAACAGACCAAGAACTATTAAGAGGCAGAAGGCCCTGCAGCCAGAGAAAATTTTACATTCTAAGTTGTCATCCTCTGGGATGTTTTATGTTTGTTGTTGGATTTTGATAAAGAGAATTACCCGAGTTGCCTGTCAGTGGAAGAAAAATGTCTACCTCTTGATTTTTGCCTGTTTTTTTCAGTTATATTGCACTAGTGACCGCATGACATTACAGCATACACAATTGCATCTGTGTTAGCATGCTGTGTGTACAGCAGCCTCTGTTGCTTTCTAATTTTTGCTGTGGTATTGAATCTAAATGATATTGGTACTACTAAACTGCTTGTATCATGACATCTCAAATCGAACCCCGGGGTAGTAACCCTACCTGGAGTAGAGGATGCACAGGACAAATATGACAAGCCCCACAATGGTCTGGGCATCCCACCATTGCAGGTATGGAGATGACAGGGCAGGTTCCTCTGTGCCAATTATCACCACAGCCGTCTGGTTCTCTATCTCAAGAGGCCCGAGCGTGGGGGCTGTGATCTTCTGAAAGATACTCAGCAGGCTTGGGTTACATACTCTGTCTGAGAGGAGGAAAAAAAGCACATGTTTTAATCTATAGCATAGTTTATGAGATGGAATGTAATGAGATATTTCTGAAAATATATAACCTCATTCTTGACATTCACATGTTCTTGTGAGAAAATTCTTGAAAGCACATGAGCTCCATGACAGTAGCTTGAAAATTTTACGCAAACTATTTTGAAGTAATAATCATGCTTTTTTCCAAGTACTTTTGGTTAGAAGATCAATTAATTACAGCATGTGAACTTGAACTGATGGTTACTTTATTAAACTATAATAATGTACTTTCATAATGACAAATTCATGATCCGAACAGAAGAGATTGTAGAGCTGCGTGTAGTGCTCTTTGCCCTGCTGTTGTTGTCTTGCTCTCTCTCTAATACATGGCTGTCAACAGTCTTACCAGGTTCATTGGTCATTGCAGACCAGGTCAGAAACATGGTGTACAGGGTGATGATGGAGGGCTGTAAAAGACCTGAATGTGGCTGATATTCCTAGGGACACACAGATAGAATAGTCAGAAATGTAAAAATTAAAATGTATTTTCTACACATATGCTAAATTGGCAGCTTATATATGCATTATTTCAAAAGTATGTATGAAGAATAATCTTTTAAGATTTTGTAAATTATTTTATCATCTTGGAAATATGTGATCCACTGGTTATTACTCAATATTTGGACAAAAAAGAGATGACTACAACTATGTCAATCATTGATGACTACAATCATTGATGATTTGTGGAACATAATTTTTCTATATGAATGTATTGTTTAATTAGTATTCCTTTTCAAGCAGCTATTTTAATTACGTAAAGTAAGTACAATTCAGGAATCCCATGTCATTTGAGAAGACCTTTAGTTGCCAAGTAGAAGTCAAGTCAATTTTATTTAAATGGCCCAAGATCATACAGGTTTGCCTCAAACAACACATTATATTTTTAGACCATCAATTGAGCGGGTCTGTGGTCTTTAAGCAGAGTACATGAAGGTGTAGTATAAGCCTTTTTTGACTGAATGTTTGATGCTGAAGCACTGTTTTCTGTTCTGTACCTGTACTTTGGGAATGACAGAGACAACAGATGCCACAATGCAGAACAACATGTTGAAGCTGATGAAGAACTTGTTGATGAGGCATCCATCAGGCTTGGTGTAGAAAATGAAGAATATAACAACGGCAGTAAATGACAGGATGTAGTTGAACAATGTAACCACCATCAAAGCTAGAAGCAGAAGGCAGAAATGTTAGTTATTCAATAGGTATACAAAAAAATAATATATGTATATCTCAACACTTTGGTGTTCAACCTATTCATCTGCATTGATTTAAAATGCTTTTTACTTATTTCTCTTGTTAGCAGATGTCTTATTGCATTGTGTATTGCACTGTGCCTGCATGTTTTCATATACAGCATATTACTAGGCCACAGCTTGAGTCTCTTACCTGCATACCAGCTCCTGGAGTTGCCAGTCTCCATTTTGTCGACCCAGGACTCATTCCAGGAGTGGGCAAAATCCACCAGCAGCACAAGCTGGATCAAAATGAAAAAGAAAGCTCCACCAGAGCCCACCACAAACCACACTGCAAAAATACAGGCCCACGTGTCATTAATCTTTCATATCATATCTATTGTTATCTATTAATATTATCTACTATCACATTATTGTATATTGGATGTCATAATCAGAGTTTTAAAAAGTTTAAAAATAAAGTTCTTACTGTAGGTAAAAGGCCGATCTGGAATGTAAAACGCAGCCACTGTAACTGCTACCAAGGCAGCAAACTTAAAGAACCAAAATCTGAAAACCAATTATAAACTGACTGTTATTAAGCATACAGGAGGCACATAAACATAACTAAAATAGCATCAGTCAGGCAGTTAAATATATGTTTTATTTCAGGAGTTGTATTGAGAGTACAGTAACCCACAAATAAGCATCCAAAGCGTTAAACCTGAATTTAACAATAAGAGAGTCACTTGATCACTGATCTTTCAGACAGATGGCATATATTAAAGGAACTAGAGAAAATATTTGCTGTTGCTGTGGCTTTATTTTAGATTAAAAAACAGAGCTTCTTCTTGTCTGGTCTAGATGTCACTCTATAGCAGGGACGGCTGGCCAATAGAGTAGCTTGATAGTAACTTAATAAGTTATCAAATTAAGTAAAAAGTACAATTATCATTCGCTGGCACAGGGACTCCGGGGAAAAAGTCGTCAGTAACATGTATTGATGAGACATTCATTCCTTTGATGTGATAAGGAGGAAAGAGAAGCTCCATGTGTCCCCAGACATTCTAGACCCCCAGACAACTGTTAGTGCGATTATTTGGAAATGGAAGAAACACAAAATGACCATCAGTTGCCCTCGGTCTGGGGCTCCACACAAGATCTCGCCTCGTGGGGTATCAATGATCAAGAGAAAGGTGAGGGATCAGCCCAGAACTACACGGGAGGAACTTGTTAATTATCTCAAGACAGCTGGGACCACAGTTACCAAGAAAACCATTGGTAACACACTATAAAGACTTTAGGGAGCACAGTGCTCTAGTGGGATGATATGGTACCATGAGCTCTTTTAGGTATGTTGGTACCATATTATTAAGGGCCTTGTAGGTTTGGAGGACAATTTAAATTCTATTCTCGATTTACCGGAAGCCAGTGTAGTGAAGCTAATACAGGAGAAATGTGATCTCTTTTCCTGGTTCTTGTCAGGACACGTGCTGCAGCATTTTGGACAAGCTGCAGTGTCTTTAACGACTTACTGCTGGAGCCTGACAAGGAATTACAATAATCAAGTCTGGATCTTACAAAGGGATGGACAAAAATATGCAGAAACTAGTGTTTCTGCATCTTTTTGATACAGGACATGTATGATTTTTGAGATATTACGTAAGTGAAAGTTTTAAGTAAAAATCAAAAGAAAAATCGGGATTAAAGATGACTCCCAAATTCCTGACTGTTTCATTGGAATCAAGGGCAATGTCATCTAGCGCAGCTGTATCATTAGATAATGTATCTCTAAGGTGTTTAGGGCCAAGTATTAGAACCTCTGTTTTATCTTAGTTTAATAAGAGAAAATGGCATTTCATCCAGGTTTTTATTTCCTTGAAACATCCTTAATAATGTTTATTGATTACACTGTTCTGGTTTTATTGATAGGTATAAGCAGGTGTCAGCTGCATAGCAGTGGAAATTTACAAAGTGTGTCCTGATAATGTTTCCTAATGGAAGCACACAGTATATAATGAGAATAAAATTGGACCAAGCACAGAACCCTGTGAAATACTGTGGTTAACTTTCGTGCGCACAGATGACTCATCATTAATTTGCACAAATTGGAATCAATCTAAAAAATAGGATTCAAATGAGTTTAGGGTCGCTCCTTTAATGCCTCTAGTCTCTGTAATAAAATGTGATGATCAGTAGTGTTGAATTCTGCACTAAGGTCTAACAGGACAAGGACAGACATAAACCCTTGATCTGAAGCTATAAGAAGGTCATTAGTGACTTTTGCAAAGGCTGTCTCTGTGCTGTGATGAGCTCTAAACCCTGACCCAAAGTCTTTCCTGGAGAAACTCACACAGCTGATTGGCTACAACCTTCTGGAGGATTTTAGACAGGAAAGGGAGATTGGATATTGGTCTGTAGTTGGCTAAAACTTTCAGGTCCAGGGTGGGTTTTTTAAGAAGGGGTTTGATTACAGCTAGTTTATGTCAGGGTTTTTTGGACTGCGATACCCTTCATGACCATGTGGGGCCCTCAGTGTTCCTGTTTTCCTCTCACATGTGTTGGCTTAATTGTGTCATTGAATTCACCTGTGCCTTGTTTACTAGACTATATAAGCCACCTGATCTTCTTTGTGTTTGCCGAGTCTTGAGATTAACACCCTACAKCTAAGTTGCACTGAGAATCCTTGCTTTAGATGCTAAAACCTGTTTTGAGTTTTTTGTTTTGTTTTTGAGATCCTTTTGTTACCCGTTTTTTGGGACATCCTTAGTTGTCATTGTTAAATTGCCCAGACTGTGTTTTTAGTTGTCTGGAAGTATTTTTGAGTTCCTGTTCTAAACCGTATGGAATCTTCTGCCTGACTGAAGTAAAGAAACCTTTTTTGATTMAATCCAAACAAGTCGTCTGCCTCTGTCTCTGCCTCTGCATCTGAGTCATCAACCCCTCGTAGCCCAGTGGTAGGCAAACCGCCTTCTACGCGGAAGACCCAGGTTCGGATCCCGACTGATCCTTACAGCAAGACTCGTCCATGGAACCAGACTCAGCAGAGGCAAGGGCTTCCCTATCATCTCAGGCCCCACGGACACCGACATCAATCAACTCTACGCGGCACGAGGCTCGCCTAACCCAACATGAGGCTGCCTTCACTCGCCAAGAACAAGCCCTGCATGACTTTCAACAGACTCTGATGGAGGTACTGGCTTGCTTGCCACCACCTCTGGAGCTCCACTGCCACCTACAGAACCACGACTACCTGCTCCCAAGAGGTATGACGGCAACCCGTTCCTAACCCAATGCTCTCTCACTTTTGAACTTCAAGCCTCCTCCTTCCGTACTGATCGTGCTCGCATTGACCGGAAAGGGCCACAGCGGTTTGGGAACAGCAGGGCCATTCCTGTAATGACTTCAGAACCTTCACGGATGAGATGCGGCGKGTGTTTGACCATCCATTAGGAGGTAGAGATGCAGCTAACCGCCTTTTTCAGCTGCGTCAAGGCAKCGCTAGTGTTGCTGAGTATGCCGTGCTCTTCCGCACCTTGGCTGCGGAGTGTAAGTGGAACGAGGAGGCCCTGATGGCGGCATTCCGACAGGGGCTCGCTGGCGGAATCAAAGATGAGCTGGCAGCTAAAGATCCTGTTTCGGACCTGGAGTCCCTTATTGACCAGACTATCCGTCTCGACAACCGTCTGCGAGAGAGGYGTCGTGAACGAGAGCCGGAGAGCCGCCCCAGTTCTGGAGCCACTGCTTCAACCTTCAGTTCGCCACAGTGGCCTCGAGGGCTTCGGAGTAATCCACCTTCTTCTGAAGAGCCGATGCAGCTTGGTGGAACCCGCCTTTCCCAGGCAGAACGGGACCGAAGGATGAGGGAGAGATGCTGCCTCTACTGTGGAGGCCCTAACCATTTCTGCTCCTCCTGTCCCATGCTCACGGGAAAAGCCCTGCCCCCTCCAGTAAAGGGAGAACTGTGACGGGGGCGACCCTTACTCCTTCAGACTCTACTTTGTGCCTGCAGCTTCCTGTCACCATTTCCTGGGAGCACCAWCAACACCTTCTACATGCACTGGTAGACTCTGGTGCTGCTGGGAATTTCATGGACCTCAACCTCGYCAGCAGCCTTCAACTGCCCATAACCAGCCTGGACCATCCTCTCTCAGTGACGGCCCTCGATGGTAGCCCCTTGGGAAAAGGTACGGTAACCCATATTACCGCTCCTGTTGTGTTGTCTATTTTCGAGAAACATTATGARAAGATTCAGTTCAATCTTATCCACTCTCCCGAGTTCCCTGTTGTGCTAGGKTTTCCCTGGTTGTCTCACCACAGTCCTCATATCAATTGGTCCTTGGGAACCGTGGTCGAGTGGGGTCCAAAGTGMAAATCTTCTTGTCTCCTCACTAGAGCTGTGCCCTCAGTTCCTAAACCTCCTAGTCCTCTGGAATTGTCCCAAGTTCCTTCCGTGTACCATGAGCTGAGTGACGTATTTAGCAAGAGGAGAGCAACGGCCCTGCCCCCTCATAGGCCTTTTGACTGTGCCATTGATCTCCTTCCAGGGTCCTTCCCTCCACGAGGAAGGATCTTCTCCCTGTCATCCACAGAGACTCAAGCTATGGAGGACTATAGTCCTCCATAGCTTGATATATCAAGGAGTCCCTGACAGCTGGAATCATTCGCCCCTCGTCTTCCCCTGCCGGTGCCGGATTCTTTTTTGTTGGGAAGAAGGACGGCGGTCTCAGGCCCTGTATTGATTATCGGGGCTTGAACAAGATCACGCTGAGGAATCGTTACCCCTTGCCCTTAATGTCCACTGCTTTTGAACTGCTTCAAGGGGCAACTATCTTCACCAAATTGGACCTCCGTAACGCCTACCACCTGGTTCGGGTGAGGGATGGTGACGAGTGGAAAACGGCCTTCAACACACCTGCAGGTCACTATGAGTACTTAGTGATGCCATTTGGGTTGACCAACGCGCCAGCAGTCTTCCAGGGGCTCATTAACGAGGTACTGAGAGAGATGCTTAACCATTTTGTTTTTGTCTATTTGGACGACATTCTGATTTTCTCCAAATCCCTCCATGAGCATGTCCATCATGTCAGAGTCGTCCTCCAGCGCCTGCGGGAAAGCCACCTCTTTGTTAAACCCGAGAAATGCGAGTTCCACGTCTCTGAGGTKTCCTTTTTGGGCTTCATCCTGTCCAAGGGGACGCTTCTCACAGATCCCAAGAAGACTCAAGGAGTTCGGGATTGGCCCCAACCATCCTCGGTCAAGGAGATGCAACGGTTCATTGGCTTTGCCAATTTCTATAGGAAATTCATCAGGAACTTCAGTGCTGTTGCCGCCCCCATGACCGATCTCACCAAGAAGAAGTCTGGCCCCTTTAAGTGGTCTCCAGAGGCTGAGCGGGCCTTTCGTGAACTGAAGGTGAGATTTTCCTCCGCCCCTATCTTGACCTTACCTGACCCCTCTCTCCCCTTTTATGTTGAAGTGGATGCATCAGTCCGGCTGATAACAAACTCCATCCTTGTGCCTTCTTCTCTGCTCGCCTCTCGGCTGCTGAAAGGAATTATGATGTGGGGGATCGTGAGCTCCTGGCTATTAAGATGGCCTTGGAGGAATGGCGCCACTGGCTGGAAGGGGCCCAGCACCCTTTTGTGGTTTGGACGGACCACAAAAACSTGGAGTACATTCAGAGGGCCAAACGTCTCAACCCCAGGCAGGCAAGGTGGGCTCTTTTTTTCAATAGATTTGATTTCATTATAAATCAAAACTAACTTCATATTCGATTAAGTGACTTACCTTAGGCCTTCTTTGGCCAATCTCCTTTGCTGTGCTGGGTGACACATCAAACAGATTAGTGATTATTCGTGCCCCGCAAAGACCTATGATCTGGTGCAGTTGCTTAGGTCTGAAGATAACCACGCCCCCTACATTTGCATATGAAAATCCAAATAAAAAAAGCAGTGAAATAAATGTGGAATTATGAATTAAAAGTCCCATGAAATAAATAAATGTGGCATTATGAAATAAAAGTCCCATGAAATAAATAAATTGGGCATTAGGAAAGTACCGTGAAATAAATAAATGTCGTCTTTTGAAAAACATAATTTTGAAATAAGTAATTGTATTTTTTTAATTTAAGTAAATGGATTCAGTTATTTATTTATGATATGCTATATTTATATATTTATTTCCATAGATTTTTATTTCAGGGTTTATTTCATAGCCATATTTATTAATTAATTTATCTATTTATTTATTTAATTGTGACTCAAATGGCATACCATATATGCTTGGTATATTCTTTTTGTATTAAAGAATTTTACCACAATTTGCTACATTAAATGTGTTAGTTCTGGAAACCAAACATTTAATGCTTGTTTATTTTTAAGCAGACCATTACTGGACTAAAATTACCCATCAAAATATCACAATGCATGATATAATTTCATGATGTTACAGATGTGATGGAGTCATCCTCACAAGCAGAGGAGACAGAGTGCAGTGCTTAAGTTTTTTAGTTTTTTAATTTATACGAATGTTTTAATTTTCCTTTATTTCTTGTGATGATGCACGATGAATAATATGGATTTCTTCCTTATCTAGTATTTTGTCCAAGTATGCACAATACAAATCAGCATTTCTCTACATGATGTGATGCTATGAGTTCAGTTTTCTGTGCTTACATTAATCTAGAGGTCCAAATATTTTCTTTGATTGAACTGTATCATTAACTGAAATTAACATTTTAGGCAATGTGAATTTTTTTGTAAGAAACCTATACAGAGCAGGGATTGAGAATTAATCTCTGTGACAGTTGCTCTCAATATATAAGAACAGGGTTTCTGCAGGTACTAGCAAATCTAATTTAATGCTTTTTAATGCCCTTTTTAATGCCATTTCAAACATTTTTAATGCCCATGACTAACTGCAAATACTATACATGTGCATACTTACCTATATACACACATACAAAATATCCCTCCGCAACTCTGAATTAAATTGCAAGCATTTCATTTGACAATGATAATATAAGAATTCAATTTATAAAGAATTTGAAATGGCTCATGAGACAGCTTACAATGTCAAATTTATTTGCACATATTTAAAAAATTCAAATTTCAAAACGTACCAGAATCCATCAAGCTTATGTTTGTGGAAATTGTCCTGACACTGAATACACAACCCACAATTTGATCTGTCTGGAGAGTGAAGGAAAAAACTGAAACTTTCAACTTGAAGGCTGGAACATAACGTTTGCATTAAGTTCAGTACGTAACAAAGAAATCACTGGGATTTAACTTTGTATGATAATTAGTGCATGTGCCTTAGTTCGTTCGCTTTTAGTTCCAACTCTGTCTCAACATTTCTCAGTTCAAGGCATTTGTTCTTGTATCTCCTCCTTAGAGTATTAGATTTTGTGATCATCTTAGCCATGAGTGTGCCAGATTTGTTTTTGGCCTTCTCAGCGAGTTGATCAGCATCCTTCTGAAGGCTGGTGCACACCTCTGTCAACACTGCCTTTTTCTTTTCAGTTCTCCCAGCTCATCTTCCAATGCTTTTTTCTTAAGTCCGTGCATGGCACCCTCTTTCTTCCTCCTTTCTTCGTCAAGGTAGATCCTATATCTAAAGTATTTTTTTAATTTTTTAATGCCTCTGGAAATCTAATTTTATGCTTTTTAATGCCATTTAAAGCATTAATTTTAGCTAAATTTATGTAATGACTTTTAATGCTTTTTAATGACCCGCAGAAACCCTGAAGAATGTATGTCCTTAATGTATGAAA